TCTATTATGAATTTATCTTTTAAAAAATTAAAAAATAATTATAACAAGTTCTTCGCATCAGCTGTAAGTGCTCATTTCTGCTACTTCTGAACTACTGATGGGAGGAAAAAAAAATATGTGATTGATGTTCATGATGTGACGAGTTGCAGTTTATATTCCCCACTGAACAGACTAATACATAGTAAGATGAGGCACTGGCTAAACAATTAACGTCAATACTATACTACATCCATACCACAGGCCTCCAAAGCAATTTATTACATGTACACAAAATCTAGAATATACCATTATGTCCGTGGGAATAAAACAAAATTGCAACAACCAACAACTGACATCACATGAAGAGTCTTAACCTTGTTTTAGCCTATAACTTTCATTTTTATATAGTATACTTCATTGTACTTTTATGCCAAGCATTTTATAATGTAATAACTATCACGTATCCCGTTTTACCAGTCCTGCAGTTCAGTGGTGTGAATATGGTAATCATGTATTTGCCTGATGATGGCTTTAATAGCCGAAACATGCAGCCAAGCCAATCTTGGCCTTGACCTTGATGTTGTGTTGTGACGAATTTTAATAACGAAACTGGATGTTCATAAACTCTTACAACTGACTATACTGGCTCCTCATAGTATAAAATTCCTTTCACTATGTCCACTTTCCAAAGTTAGTGAATTAATTACTGCTTCACTTTACATTTAGGTCAAATGTAAATAATACAAACATATCCAGCATACCCAAGATATACAGCCATCTACAGACTCTTTTGCAACTGATGCCTCTAATTCGTCTATAAAATACAACTATAAAACTGTAGTTTCTGGTGTGCTCTGAATTCAGAACTTCTAAGAGAAAATTAGTTGGTGCTGCTACAGATGCCTACAGTAATATATAGTATATGTAACAAGTACAGTATGTATAAAACAGATCCGGAAAAAGACTGAAACATCCATGCTTTCAATGTAAAATGGTCTCAGATTTCAAGATATTCCAAAGAAATTACACAACACAACACTCATTAACTACAGAAAAAAACAGCTGTACAGCCATTTCCAATTATTCACCTACAGACTGTAATTACCTCTAAAGCATATACGATAAATATTAGCAGATCTAAAATAAAATAGTTAGAATCATGATACACAGAAAAATGCAAGCCTGAATGATAAAATTACACAGTTTTCAAATACTGTCTTCCATATATACTCAGTATTTATTCTTCAACACAGGACTCCACACATTTTCCATCTTGAAATATACCACAATTTGGCTATCCTCCTGAACAGAGGAAGAAATTTAACATATCCTTTTATAAACTGATTTGGACTGTTCTTCTATTGTAACTTGATTGCAGACAGTCAATTTACTGGGGAGACCATGGCATTTATTCCATTTTATTTGTCACCTGTTACATGAATTCTGCATACTTATTTGGAAATAACTGTACAAGTCAACAAACACAGGCTGTTTATGCCAAACATGTATGCATCACAAATTTAACTCTTGTTTATTTTCAACTCTCCACGGGGAGGGAAAAATACATATTCCGTTTTAATGTATTTTTCTATAACATACATATTCACATTAACAGCCATATTCAATGAGTGAGAAGAACTGGTTTTACAGAATTCAAAACAGCTTAGTTCTGAATGTTATCTCAGCATGAAGCTGATGATCACAAAGTCTTCGCTGTCTACGCAATGCAATTTGTCATAAGTGTCCTGAGTTTTGGCACAGAAAGAACTGGCTGTTGCTACACAATAATGACCCTGCACATTGCTCTGTGCTTTGACAAGAGAAGCTGGCAAAAGAACAGGTCACCGTTTTGCCACACCCTCCATACTCGCCTGCTCACACCAAGCGATTTCTTTATCTTTCCCTGCTTGAAAGAAAAGCTATGTGGGCGTCGATTTGATTGATTGATTTATTTAACATCCATAACTGTTACATTATGTACAATTGGACAAGTCAGTTTTTAAAAAAATATATGAGATTTCAGTCGGCCAAGGAGACTGTCACTGCCACAAGGGAAACCCTATGGGACCTTCATGCAAATATCTTTCAGCACTATTTCCAGCAGCTATACCAACGTTGGCAGACTTGCATAGTGGCCAAGAGTGACCATTTTGAGGGATGTGGATAGTTGTAAGTGTATGTGAGTATCTTGTAACATGGTGCAACAAAACCACAGACCATGAAATTACTGACTGTAGTAGTATATTTCATGTGTACAAAAACACTGTCTCACCTGGTAGTGAAGCATTAAACTTGCACAGAAATCCGTGAATTACATTCATGACAAAACTTGTGAGGCAAACGATTTTTCAAGTAACTACAGAAGCTTTCATCTGCTGTGATCAATGTCAGGCAATTCTAAATAAGGACTTCAAAATGTGACAAGTCCTTGCATGGACTGCCTTACAACGTATCATCAAATGCAGAAATAACGTATGCTCACATTTATGGTTTCCTTTAATGTCTAAAGGAAATGTGAAACTTCATATGAAGCTTCATCACAGATGAAAAAGGTTTGTTTGGTGATTACTATCCCAAAAACTAAGCATCAATTAACTCCGTTGGATATATGTATGCATGTCACCAGAACCTATACACAACAACTGCATACAAAAGTAAAGATAATGCTAACTTTCTTTTGACAGTGAAGATGGTGGACCTTACGAATTTGTTCCACAAAGCTGCTGATTCATAGACTTCAGTTACCTGTCTGAAAGCGGCCTCCGTAGGATAGAGGTAACGTTCCCACCTCATGACTCGTAGTACGCGGGTTCAAATACCCGGCGGAGGTCGTCGAATTTTTAAGGGCGGAAAAATTCAGGGAACAAGTCCTCCGGGAGGGACTTTAAGCTGTGTGTCCCGTGTCGTAACTTTACGGCACGTAAAAGAACCTCATATCCCCAAAGGGGATCACCGAGCCAAATTCCAGGACGTTTCCCACCCAACAATAGTCTCTAAGGCCTCCGATAGATGGGGGACGCATTATAGACACCGCTAAGCCAGTGGCCGAACTCGTTTGCTCGGCGGGACTGATGGTACACACCATTTATCGGTAGGGTATAGAGACTGGTAGAATATCATAGAGGGAAGCACAATAGATCAAACTGGTCGCGGTGCATGGGGAAACCCAGCCTCTCTAAATAATAATAATAAATACCTGTCTGAAATGCTTCACACATACATTTCAAATGAGGCATCATGAGAGACACTGGCAATCTGTGACTGTTACCTCGCAATAATAATTTCCCATGTAGCAATCTTCTTACAGTAACTCTTGACCATGAACAATTTGTTCTCTATTCACCATATTCAGAACAATTTGCAATATGAGATTATTTGGTTCCCTGAAAAGTACTATCATATGTGCCAATTGCCAAAATGCAAACCAGGGAGAAACCTGTAATAGTAGGAAAGTAAATCTAAAAACTGCACATCTAATATAATCATTACAAACATTCTGGGGAAGCCCACTTTAAAAAGGGCAATCCCAACTGACTGTTTCTTGTCCATTAGCTTCAGACGAGCAACATCAATCCCAGAACTTGCTGATAGGCTACATAACCTTCAAAATGTTAAATTACTTCCCCAAAACTTTTCCACACACTTTACAAGATACCAGGGGAATACCTACTCAAATTTCATCAGAAAGTTACTGGATTGGGGGGGGGGCACATTAAGTACAGAAAACAAGATGTCGTGGATGTGAATCCTTTAAAATGTTCTTGCTTTCTTGAACATCTGATTTTTATGTGAATCCTGTTACCTGTAGCTTATCAAGGAGTACTCATCACTGAATATTGCATTTTCTTTTTCTTATGGATTTTTGGACATAACACATAAATTCTGACAGTAAATGAAAACTACATTCAAAATTCTGTGAATGATAATTCAAGACCCACTGCTTTAAAATAACTTTTTACATTAACAAACCTGTNTGGGTTAACCAGCTGTTTTATTTGGGTGTCCTTGAACAATTGCTATGCGCATGTTTGCCTTATGGTTTTGTTCGTTTTTTGGCCTGTGGCCATCCTGAATGTTTTTGTTTGGGTGGAAGTTTGTTGTATGGTGGTACAGAAACACCTACAATGAATGACCATGATGGCCCACCACCATACAACAAACTTCCACCCAAACAAAAACATTCAGGATGGCCACAGGCCAAAAAACAAACAAAACCATAAGGCAAACATGCGCATAGCAATTGTTCAAGGACACCCAAATAAAACAGCTGGTTAACCCACAAAACCAAAGTAATGCAAGGCAAATGCATAAGAGAAATGAAACAGCTTCACAGAGAGCAGCAGATTCCTTCATCACAACAACCTCTACACCTGAAGAGGGCCGATTAGGGCGAAATGCATAGCGACACAGAAGAGAAAATGATAAAATATTAACTGACATTGCACGTATATGGCAAAAAAGTGGAATGCAAAGTCAGATCTATGCATCGTAACAGGATGATGCAATTTAATATTATTGTAAAAGAAAAATGTGTTCAACAAATCAGGCATTCCCTTACAAGGGGGACATCAGATTATGGCAGCTCTTGGGCATGAATTCATTTTTTTTTTTTCAAAACTGCTGTCTAATCTACAGACAATGGCAAACATAACAGGTCCCAAAACTGTACATTTACCAAAATACTTTTTCAGCTCTATCTGCAGAATGCCTGAGGTAACAGATATATATCTTCATACACATAACATTATCAAAAGCAGTAACAGATTAACTGAAATCTGACACGTCGACCTATATAGAGGTTCTCAGCAGCCTTTTGCTAACATAAGTGGGTAATGACATTAAACCCAGTGTATCAAATATACACTCCTGGTTATCCTATGTTCAATGCTCTATTGTTGTACAAAGTAGCATCTTTTCTATATCAAAACTTAATGTGATCCAACTTTACAAATGTAAAATATAAAACCAGGTTCTCTCACACATTAATACAAGTAAAGAGAAGTTGGAGGTTTTCTCCTTACCTTGTGATGATGTCCCTGCTGCACCATCTGCATTTCCTTGTATACTCTGACTACCAATTCCTACAAACAAACCAAAAGTATTATGGGAGTCTTAGGCACATGGGACTGCTGAAATTTTAGCAGTTTTATTTAGTCTACATATTGGTTAGTCGCTGGCTTCCCGCCGCGGCAGCTAGGGTTCAATCCCAGATCTGGTGAAGTGGGATCTGTGGTGGACAAAGTGGTGGTGGGGAAGGTTTTCTCAGAGTACTTCGGTTTCCCCTGCCAATATTCATTCCACCAATTGCTCCACAATTACCCTCACCTATCATCTGGGGCTGGTACAATAGGCCAGAAGTGGCCGCAGTACAAGGGACTTAGTCCCACGCCATTAGCAATAAAAAAAAATAGTCCACATATTACAAGCACAAAAATTAGGAAATGTTGAGATACAATATAAAATATGTATTTTTTTCAAAGTACGTATATATACGAAACTTTGAAGTCTCATATATCTATGTAGGACTTGAGGTTTTCATGGCGGTGACTATCAAGAAAGCAGTCTTCTGGGATGTGGCGCTGCGTAGATATTGTGTTAATCGACGTTTTGGAGGAACGTCAGTTAACGCAATATCTACAGAGCCACATCCCAGAAGACTGCTTTTATCATATATCTATCTATGTGTACTTTATTTTCACTTAATTGTCCTCCATATTTTTGGAAAAAAACACAAACCTTAGTAAGCAATATTTCACAACTGTCTGTAATACAGTATACATCTACCATTTCTCTAATACATTTTTGGGAAAGTAATTTCTTTACCAAATGACAATGAATAATTCACAACTAATAATACTACATGTAACAAAATTCATGGGGTCAAAAACTTCACTTAACATACAGAACACGATGTCACATTGCATATAACTAATGCTTCATAAATAAAACACAAATATTTGAGTCAATCCACTTGAATATGCTTTAGCAGGCTTCATACAACTTAAACTTGAGCCACGCACCTAAAATAAGCTGCTTACATGTTTAATAATATACTGAACTGAGATCAAAGATTTATTCACCACTAATCTCAGCTAAAATGCATGTAGCAACGAGACAAGCATTTTTCTGGTGCTCCCCACAAAAACTTGCAAATGTTTCTAACTCCTCGAAGCTGAGTACTTCTTGAGAAGCCAGTAGTTGCTCAGCTACACAATATTTTACAGAACACGAAGGTTCACTACAATGTTTGCAAGAGCCCACCACTGATCCCTATCATGAGCCAGATTAATCCACTCCATACTACCCCATCCTGTTTCTCTAAGATCCATTTTAATGTTACTTTATGACTGAAGGAAAAGAAAGCTTAGGTACTATACAATACAGTGATGCATTTTAATCACCTATAATATTTATTAGCATAACATGGTACGGAGAATCAAGACCTACTTCTAACCTTTCAACCTTAACCTAAACCTAAATGCATCTAGGCCTGTTATATGTGCTACAAAACTTTTAAGAAATACTACCTTCTGGTTGTGCAGCTGACATACCTGACAGTCCTGTAGGGTCTGCGGCTAACGCTGCCATACTGAAGTTGAATGATCCTGTCGAGGTGGCAGAAGCAAAGAGTTTACTCTCTGGAGTAGAGAGATAAACAGAGCCTGGGTGTCCCTGAATACTGTCATGATCATCATGATCACCAGCTGAAAGTGATGATTGCTGATGACTTCCGGCTGGTGCATCACCACCAGTAGCCTCTACAGAGTCATTACTGTTATCCATATCTGCTGCTCCACACAGCAGTTCTAAAGGCTCTGACTTCACGCCATCTAACATTCCAGAGGTAGGAGAAGGTGATGAATCGCCATCACCTGAAGCTACATTACCATCAGATTCTGTCTTCCTATTGTTACTTCCTGTTGTGGAGCCTTGAGTTTGTTTGGAAGAGAAGGATGAAGAAAAATCTGTAGCTGTCACCTGATTGGTTGACGCTGAGGTAGTTTCACCATTGTTATGGTTGCTATTTTCAACATTAGCTGACGTTCTTGCTCTCTTACTCGGAGCTGAATGTTGCGACTGTTCTGATGAATCTGACTGCTGCTCTGCTGAGTTATGTCGTTCTCGTCGACTTGAAGACGAAGCTATGGCTGCTGCTGCCGCTGCACGTCGCAGTAGCTGGTTCACTGTTGCACCACCTGAGGTAGCATTTGAATGTTGGGAAGGTGGTGGTGGTGATGGTGGTGATGTAAACAAAGCATCTTCAACCAGTTTATCTGAGAAACTCTGTTGGTGTCCACGAGAACCTTGCAACTGTGCAGGGAACTGAAATAGGCAAAATTTATACACTGTATAATTTACTTATAATAAAATGTAATCACCAAAAAAATAAATAAATAGCATCTGAATGTCAAGAAGACTAAATGAGTTTTCAATTCTTACTTCCACAGTTACATGCATGTAGGCTGTAATAATTTAAGCACAACATCCTGAGGTGACCAAAACAACAGTCTACAAAATATGATAAAAACAAAACCTCTGTGATGAAACGCAGTACCACAAATAGATGTATTTTCTTTTTAAAACGTGTATGTGTACTCTCCATAAGGTTCTCACCTCATCTCTGTCCTCAGCTTGTTGTGTTAGCCCGCTTACCCTCAATACTTCGGCAGTTTTCAAGAACGAGCTAAGGTTCCGTTGATGTACGTTTACTTCACCATGATATATGAACTCCACTAATGCATGCAGATCAGCAAAAGCAACATCTTGCAGCACAATCACCGGGTGTTTGCATGGTGTACTCTGTTATAAAAATGGTTCTATTTTAACCAGAACACTGTCTACAATTTCACAAACATCAAAGTTAACTAAAACTGAAATTCCATGTGATATACAGTTCATAATTCTCACCTTAAGAAGTTCCCGAAAGTAAGGGCTACAAGCTGAGAGTACCACACGATGAGCTTTGAGGCTCTTTCCATCACAAGCCAGTGTTACATCAACAAAATCCTCGTCATCACGTAAATTTTCGAATGCAGAAGTAATGCTACTTTGATAATTGTTCCAACGAAGGCAGAAGTGTTGGGTGTCTGCCATGCTCATTTTAGTCTACCTGCAGGTTAAAAAGTGAGGTTAAAATAACATTTCTCATAACGAAATATATAAATATTTAATTCACAAAGTCCCTTATAAAATATAAAGAACTGTTGTAATATACTGGTATCGGAAAAGAATGTTCGGATATAGTGAGTCCTGGTATACTTAAAAAAACGTAATTTATATAGATATATGATAAAACACAATGTACATTCCTCCCTTAAAATAATCTCCGAGTAATACCTTTAACTCTGAAAAGGCCTTAGGGTTTTAATTACATTTTTTTGGCCTTGAATGATTGAAACAAAAATGGTGGAAAATGGCGTCCTCAAAAAATAGCGCAATGGATTCAACATCACACTTTTCTTGCACAGTTTCATAAGATCAGTCAACATACAGCAAATCACCTCAAGCACAACAAAATACCAATTCAAACAAACAAATTACAACAAGATAACACTGTCATCCAAAGAAACTTAAGTGATAATTGTCATTACTATTTTTGCCTATTTTTCTAGTAATTGACATTGACATTGTCTAATGTCATACATACACCGCTACAAAAAATAACATATCAGATTCACTGGTAGATACAAAATGAAAACCAAACAACGATGTAAATTAATTTACCTTTAGCGATGACACCAACCGTTACTATTCAGAAATAATTATACAAAAATAAGTTATTACATTCTTTTTTCCACCGGCCTCCACGGCCAAGCGTAAACGCGTACAGTACACAACCGCATCCCAAAAATTGGGATCGCGGGCGGTTCTACGATAGCCGCGAAATACAAACAACTCTAACTGCCGGCAAGCTTATTTCATATACAAAACGAGTCTGTGTGCGATTAGTGTTACCTGTTTCTTCTTTTAAATCAAAGCTTCTAATAAAAACCAGCTTCATTACAAAGTATTCACAAAAAACAACCCGCAAAAAAACTCGCACATCAGATAATTCTTTATCGGCACGTGAGACATCTGTCGTAATAACTCTGCACTAAAAATAGCGCGTACCCAGCAAGACGTGTAATGAAAATGCGGAAGGATACAAAAACGGAACAATTGAGTTCCAATAAAAAATACATTCAAATTATAAAACAATATTATAATATTGTATACAGACTCTAACGATATTTTACTCACGTCCCTAATAGATAAATGCCAATGCAGATATGGACTGATTTCCATGTGAAATTATAATAGAATCGAAAACACAATAACAAGAAAAATTGTATATTCATGCGCTAATGAGCTATGCACCCCCACCCCTGTTTAATCCATCCCCAAAAAATCATTACGTTCATCCGCGGTTAGCAAACTGCGCATGAACAAAGTTAATTCGTTTCACGCAGTAGAAGAAATACACTTGTGTAAATCAACTATTTTTCCTCCATTGTCTTGTATCGATTGAATAATCAATAACGTAATAAAACCACGGCTTTCAGCGACATGTAGTTCTTGAGGAATGACAAAACGCAACGCGTCAACCGACCAGCCATGGAAATTCAAAATCATACGCTTCGCCAATTCCATCGTTTTCTTTCCTCCTTCCCTTAGCACACAACTCCTTTGCATTGTTCGCTTAACTTCTGACATCTTCCAATCATTAGACAATCGCGCATTATTTACAGAAACTCATACTTCACACACACACACACACAAAATCCCATAAAATTCATACCTGATTTTATTTGCCACACAACTGTTAGAGCCGTGACGTTTTAAAACGAAACAATCGCAATGTTTCATTCACATTTGCCTTGAAAATTAATTTTAGTCTTTATACATAAATATAAAACTTTCTTTAAAGAATAATGTATCGTTTAAGTCAAATTGCCGTAATTCGTTATGGTGACTTCTATAAATACTAATCAAAATGATTAATAGGAAAGTATAAAACACTGTTCTTACGAGCTCCGGCCAATCACCAAACACACTTCCGCCAATATCGTAGATAGAAATGCAAGTAACTGTTTCTCCGAAGCCACTAACAAAAATATCTGTCTTTATTTCATAGTTTTAAGCAGTTGCTCTTTTGTTCGGACTCTGTAGAGTTGAATCAGTTTCAAACTCGTGGAACAACTTTTTATTGAGTGTCGCAAATTCAGAGGAACCTTAACCAGCTATAATGCCTCACCCCGCCCGCCAACCCTCGCCTAGGCTGCTTAAACTGGAAGTACAGCTTTGCGAATTTCGTACGACACATAGCTTCTTTTTTTTTTTTCCATTCCGGCCTCTGTTAAGTGTTTGTAGCAAATGGTTGAATATTTTCTTATTAAATTTATTTAAAATATTGTACTGTAAATGTATGTATTTTTGTTTCTTGCTTTAGAATATACTCATATTAATTCACGACATCGTATTTATGTGGAAAGCATTTGAGCCTACTACCAAGTAGAACGTCATCTTATGGTATTTGCGTAATAAATAATCGTCGTTACACATGCAGAATACAATATTAATGTTATCGATATTTCGCCCTCCAAATCACAATGTAATTCTGCGTAAAGGCGTAGTTAACTCTCAATTTAGGTTTGAGAACAATTCTTTATATTTGTATCAATAACTTCCATAGAATTATTTCTGCATGTGCTCTGTAGAGTGTATACTTTTACCTTCAAGTTTTGCTGAAACAACAAATCCAGAATCACTATGGTAGAAGGTTACACTTTCTTGCATTGCAGCAAGACTTGAAAAATGCAGTCGGCTGCTGGAATGGGGAGAGTTGGTTTTGCCAACTGGCGGACAGCAAGGTACTTAGTCGTGTATAATAAAGGACGTCTGTTCTGCTTTTCACTTTTTTAGACTGACGTGAATATGTTGTCAGTTCATTTCAAATTATATTCTCTGATGTAAACGGTAGAGTTGGATTACTGACAAGTTTTCACATCTTATTAATGAGGAACACGAAATGTATTTATGCAATTAACATTTAAAATATATGACTGGAGACTTGGTTTAAGATCTTTCTTATTTCCAGTGCTGAACAACTGTGACATACATCATTACATCTGGTGCAAAGCAATGATGAAAGATATTAATTCCCACGTTTAGTTACAAATAGAGTCTTTTAGACCTCTGGGGTGTCAAACGAAATTTTAGTTTCGCGAGCAGGAGATATTGACACATTTTTCAAATCCTGCATCACAGTGGGGCCGAGAATACGAATTTGATCCGAATGCTCCTCAATAAAAAAACGACTAGTTTAGTAACAATTTACTCACTATCTCGGCCGCTCTATAGCCCAAGGGGTTGGTCGCTGGCTTCCCACCGCGGCGGCCCGGGTTCGATCCCGGGGTCTGATCAAGTGGGATTTGTGGTGGACAAAGTGGCGCTAGAGTAGGTTTTCTCCTAGTACTTCGGTTTCCCCTGCCAATCTCCATTACACCAAATTCTCCATCATCATAATCACCCAGGGCAGGTACAATAGGCCAATCAGTGGCCGCCGTGCCGAGTTGACCCAACTGGACTCAACCCCCACTAAGCGAATTTAAAAAAATACTCACTATCTCCGTTACATTTGATAATGAACAGTCTAGAGACGTAATCAGCGAAGCTGAAGAAGGAAAAGGAGAACATGAAGACAAATTATTTAAGACTACATGTAACCTGGCTTGGGCAGCATTTTCCACCACAAACATAACATAGATCGCACTAAATTTAGACTGGGTACGTCATATTATACCAGATAATAATCAGTCCTTATATCTTCGTTGAGTTACTTTAAGCAGAGTTATTTCAGACTAGCAAACAACATCGAGTACCACAGATGGTTACACAGTGCTGCGGTAAGCGGCGCTGGTGCAAGACCCTCTAGTCCAGGCAGGGTAAAATTTCTTAAGCTTCTCATTTCCCTATTACGGTCTTCATAGTCTGCTTCCCACAGTCATCGTTATCATCAATGCTAAAATATGACAGCTCATAAAGCTCCATTAATCAGATTTATACCATATCATTTAATTAACCAAAGATACATGAACCGGTAGAAGCCGGAATAGCGTAGTCGGTATAGGGACTTGCTACAGGCTGGACGACCGAAGGGTCAGAGTTCGAGTCCCGGTAGGGTCAAGAATTTTCTCTTCTCCACGTTGTCCAGAACGGCTCTGAAGTCTACCCAACCCCTATCCAATGGGTACTGGAGGCTTCTTCCCCGGGGGTAAAGTGGCTGGGGCGTGAGCTGACCACTCACCTCCAGCTAGTGACAAAGTCAAGAAAAGGTTGATCTATGCGTCCACACCCCCATACGCCTTCATGGCTTAGTGTTTAATCAGTTAAGTACAGGTACAACTGTACCTTACTTTGCATGAAGCGGTAACTATAAATAGTTCGCTTGCGGACTAAAGTCACGGAGTTTGTTTTTTTCTTTGTTTGTTACATCGAAATCTGATAATTAATATAGGCTTTTTCATTTACGTACAAATAAACCGTTTCTGCCATAAATTAATTCCGAAACGGGGTTAGGTCTTTAAAATAAAACTGCTGTGGCAGTGCATATACGTGGGGTAATCCAAAAGTTTCCGAAATTTGAATTTTTTGCGCGAATGATTATGTGTATTCATAAAGAGTGTAAAAATGCAGTCTCAGGCAATATAAAATGTATCCATGTGTTTAACTAATAATAATTTGTGTGTCTGAGTAGTTTAAAATATTGTACTACAATTTCGTGTATGTAAAATTCCAGAGAGATATTGTTTAGTGCGAGAACACAATTTTCTTTACATACCACCAAGAACTGTATTCTGAAGGTGAATTTGTGTTATAAGTCCAAGAACCTAACTGACTATACTCGACGGATCTGAGCCCTTCTTCAGAAGTCAAGAGCAGAACAGCCACACAATAAACTCCCTGTATTTTATAGAGCCTCAAATTTTCTTATCATATTCACAAGAGCTCAGCACTCGTCTCTATCCTGAGCCAGATGAATCCAGTCCACTCTTCTATCCTATTTCTGTAAAAAGATAAAACTCTCCGTGTAAAGGCCGTGGAAGCCCATAGGGTTGGGAGACGTCGAGGTTCCCACAATTTGTAGACAATCGGCTCACAGATGCCGGTAATGTTGTCAGCCTTACGCTCCGGCCACCCTTTGCCCCACAGGAAAATTCTTGGTACTCATTTCTGTTAGAGGCTGAGTCGATCCCAGATACATAGTGCGGTTGGAAGGATTAGGTAAATGGGAGGAAAAAATCCACCTCATCGGGACTCGAACCCACGACCTTCCGGCTTGTAGCATAGTGCCTCTACCAACTACGCTACCGCGTGCCCCATCTGATTTTTGTAAGTCAAATTTAGCATTGTCCTGTCATCTATATCTAGGTCTTCTTAATGATTATTTCCTTCATATTTCTCTGCCAAAATCCTGTACGCACTCATTTTCGCTTCTATCCGTGCTACCTGCACTACCTTTCTCACCCTACTTTACCTGATCAGTTTAATGTTTGTCTGAGTATGTTACGAAGCTTCTCGATGTGCAGTACCTTTCTTCCAGTCTGAGTCCAGACACCTAGAGACGTTAGAGCTAAGTAACCACCAAGAACAAGGAAAGTAGTTTCTGAAATTGCAGTGTACATATAGTATTTCTGCATTTGTGCCTTAGTCAGTTGCATTAAAAGTCACTTCATGTGAGGCATATTATAAAAATCTGACTCAGAAGCCTCTAGCTCCAATGGCACAATCGTCAACCGAAGAATTATATTTTCTGGGATATAAAATCATGTAGTCCGTTGAATAACAACCAACTCTTCGGAAGAAAATGTAGACTCCAAGAAGGTAGCAACAAAATTAACAATTTCCCTGGAGCTTCACCCCAATTGTAAAGTCCTTTGTCTTTATCATTTTGTTCTATTTTGTGCCGTATGGGAGAAACGAGCTGGAGGAAAAAGGATTTACGCTATTGTAGATATATGTAGGCCCAAAATGCTTCGTATATCTAGACTTAAAAAGTTTTAAATTTTTCAAAATCTTTGTAAGAAAAATGACACGTACCAAAGCACCAATTTTTTAATAATAAATATGCATACGTAACAAATTTTCCCTTAAATCTTGAGCTCTCTGCCTGTTATCTTTCGCATAGACTGTGAAGTTTTTGATCCGTTAACAATAACGGGTTTCTGTCATGCCATTTTACATTTTCCTGACCTAAATCTATCAAATAATTAGACCAACTTCCGCCAGAGCAAAAATGTTACTCAGCATTTGAAAAGTGAACAGTCTAATTTGTTAGAGGATCTCTCATCATGATTAATGTGTTTCATACCATGGATGAATGGAAATTTAGAGTATTTACAGGATCTAATTCCAGTTGTGCTGATGAATATTTGTTGCCATAATAAGCTGTCGTCTTTCAGAAGTCCTCATTGGAGTATAGCGATTACATGTACCATGGCCTTACCGGAATGCTAAGTGTGGTTTTACGAAACGTAACAGCCCGATTAATTTTGACTAAAATTGGACAACATAAACCACCGCTTAACAAAGGTGGGCAATAAACTACAGTCATGGAATATATTCTTTGCTGAACAGGTACTAGCTGATCAGGTGGTAATACAACTCCACAACTTGTAAGAACCGCGAAGGCTCTCTCCCGTCTTTAACAGAGCAAGTTACTTGTTCCTGTCCTCAGTAAAATGAAACGAATCCACCATCTCATATTACATTTTCAGAGATTCGGAGAAGTGACGGAAGTTGGGAGAAAACTGCATAATGAGGAGCTTCATAACTTGTATCTTCTCCAAGTATAATTAGACCTAGCAAGTGAAGAATAATGAGATGGACAGGGCATGTAGCATGAATGGGGGAGAGGAGGAAAGCATATAGAATATTGGTGGGAAAGCAGGGAAGGAAGATGACCACTGGGAAGATCAAGACGTGGGTGGGTGAACAATCTTAAATGAATCTTAGATAAACAGGATGGGATGGTATAGATTGGATTGATCTGGTTCAGGATAAGGAGTAATTGAAGGCTCCTGTGAACATGGTAATTAACTTTCAGGTTCCATAAAATGCTGTGAAGTTTTTGAGTTGCTGCACAATTGACAGTTTCTCAAGAATGGTTCAGCTCCATGAGTGATATGTCTCGGGTACAATTATCTGCCTTTAGACCGGTAATCCTGACCGAGGTTTTCAGTCGTTTTCTTCAGACCCTTGACGAAATCAATGGTACCCTTCAGATAGGAAGCTGGGTTGCTCCAAAAGCGTCTGGACGACGTGGAGAAGTGAAAATTCTTGAACCTACCGGGACTCGACCTTCGACCTACTCGATTGTCTAGCCCATTACCAGTTGCTATACCGAACCTTTAACAATAACCCATTGAAATTTCAGAGGAGCTTATGCCGTTTGTACATAATTTATTTGTGAATGCTAATTAACGTGAAATATTAAAATTTACTTACCGTAAATGGAAGAGAATACAGTAAGAGGCTCGTGAGGCTTAGACAACATAATGAGACTACTGAGCATCCTTGTGTAATGCTATAACCGTGCCATTGGAACCATGTCTACGAACTCCGGCAAACGCTGTAAAAATAAATTAATACCTTAAATAAACTCTTAAAAAAATGGTGAGACACTGAACTGATATGCGTTCTGAACAGTTTCGTACTGAGGATAATTTAAAGCTTCAAAAAGATATTATATAATAATTGACAGTTATCCTGTAAAACAAGGGCGTAAATTTCATAATCTGAAGGTCATATCGCTAGAACAAACAAGCCTTGTAAATTGTATTACCTGTGTTATCCATTGTGCGTTAACTCACACCTTCTTATCTCTCCGTCAGATTACTCAGATCTGGAACCGGAAATTTATCTTGATGAGTGTGGCACACGTGAAAAATAGCAGTGGGGAAACACAACGAAAATGAATTGTGTACGTTTAACTAATACTTCTCTTACCTTGGATGAAACGGTAGGGATTGTAAACCAGATCAATGAAAACTAAAAGAAATTTGAAATGTGATGTTTTCACAGCTGTGAATGTTAAGAATATAATCTCCTTGGATAAGATGCTATGTAGTTTCGGAGGAACCTGCTGCTTTTATCTACAGTATAATGTTGTTATTGTAATATATTGCACGAAAGGAATATTCGGAAAAGACAATAAACTATACTTTATCGAAACTTAAGTCAAAATTACTTTCAAGAAGAAACGAAGAACAAATTACATTAGGAGAATCCTTGCTAACCTTCATTTCAGAATCCTTTTCTTTTCCCGTCTTCTACTTAAAAACAAAACTAAAATATACACAATTTTTCTCTCATGTTAGGCGACTGGGTCCTTTACTTTAGACAGGATGTTGCTCAGAACATTAAGTCCTAGGAGGTAACAGGAAGATGGAGATATTTATATGAGAATAAGTTCCATAAATTATCTTCATCTAATTTCATTACGGCCATCAAATGTACAAAATTGGCTGGGAATGTAGCATGAACGAGAACGATGTATAAACGCATTCAGACATTTAGTCTGAGAACCTAGTGGGAGAAAACCACTTGGGAAATATAGGCGTAGAAGGAGGGATAACATTGAAATGTATCTTAAAGAAGATATGAGGAACTACATCGTAGACTGGTTTTGGGTGGCTCGGTTGAGGATCCCGTGGAGGGATACTACTAACACAGCCATGATAATCTTAATAGTTTGCATCCTGTTGTGTGTCTCACATAAGACACATATAAAGCATAAAAAATATACCGTCTACACAACAACACTACAGAACTCTTTATTATTGGTCACGACCATGAAATATATATGCGTGCATGCTGTTCCCTACATTTGATAAACACTGAGCGCGATGCGTTTGAGTGAGTGCCACGCTTGCTTCTTATTGGGGGGTCTCGGTTTCGAATCTCGTCCCTAAGTCTGATTAGATTGATTGGCTTTCCATGCTGGAAAATCACCACTACATAGGCTGGGAATGCTGCATTCTCTGTTCTTCACGACCCATTAAGCATCAATGATGGAGTAACTTGACGCTTCGTATTATGAGATAATAAAAATATCGTTAAATAATCCATAAATGAAAAAAAATAATTAATAAAAATATCTAACAGAACCGCCAGCCTCTGTGGTCTAGTGGTCAGAGTTCCTGCCTACAGATCCGGAGGTCCCGGGTTCTATCCTTGGCGCTACCAGATTTTCTGGGAAGTAGTGGGTCTGGAACGGGGTCCACTCAGCCTCGTGAGGATAACTGAGGGGCTATTTCAAGGAAATAGCGGCTCCGGTATAGAAAACTGAGATTCGCAACTGGGGGTTCGTTGCGCTGACCACACGACACCCTCTGTCCGCTAAAGTTGGCACTAACTTCGCTGACAAGCGGCGGTCGTTCAGTTGGTATAATTCGCTTGAGGACTAAAATCACGGAGCATTCTTTATCTAAAGGAATATTAGACAGATGAGGAATGGATACGATGCTTGTACACTAAGAGTCAGCAATGGAAGTGTTAAATAGCCGTCACATTGGCTGGTGCAGGCTTCTGTCTCCTGAGATATGACGCTATGTATTCTTGTGGAAGTTCACTGACGTTCACTCTATGAGACTACACGTCGTCACATAATAATGGACAACACTCTTCATAGTCTTCACAGCGAGGATCCCAATTCGAGATCAGTAAAATATACTTAGGTGAACAAGGTTGTTAAGGCGTGTTCCAATCATTGCACACGTGCATTTTCCACATTCTTTTTCCGTTTCCTGTTATGGACACTACCTCTTTGGCGTTGATGTTCACATATTATTGACGTATTATAAATTTTTATTATTATCCTTAAATTTAACACAAATACAGCACATTCCAAATCACGAATACTATACGAAATATAATATTACTTCCATCATAAATTTTATTTCTGAAGAATTGTTAATTTATGAAACAGAGAAATGTTTGCTGAGACGAAAATAATCTGAAGGCAAACAATATATTTTTGAAAGCGGAAAATATTCCATCTTACAGAAATATATATATATATACATACACACATACACCCGGTAAGTGATACTGAAAAATTGCGGGTATATTATTTAGTACGGAAATTTCTGTAATATGGAATATTTTCCGCTTTCAAAAGTATATTGTTTGCTTCAGATTATTTTCGTCTCAGCAAACATTTCTCTGTTTCATAAATTAACAATTCTTCAGAAATAAAATATATATATATATATATATATATATATATATATATATATTTTTATAACGTAGTTGGTTGAGGCACTATGCTATAAGCCGAAAGGTAGCGGGATCGAATCCCGATGAGGTCATTGGATATTTTCAATTTACCTAATCCTTCCAGCTGCACTATGGCCCTGGGGTCGACTCAGCCTCCAACAGAAATGGGTACCAGGAATAACCTTGGAATATTCTTGGGGGTAAAGGACGGCCGGCGCCTAGGACTGACAATGCTACCACCATCTGTGAGCCGATTGTCTAGAAAATGTGGGAACCTCAACATCTGACAACCCTATGGTCCTCCAAGACCTGTTACAGGGATAGCTTTTACTTTTTATACGCTGTAGTCACAAGACCAATAGCGATTGTAAGTTCGTCTCTGAATGTGTGCGTTTCATCTACTCTTCAGTGCTTTAGCACGCAAAAAGAAATGTAAGGGAATGAATTATAGTAAATGATAAAGTATTGAAAGTATTCTACATTAGCGCCGTAACAATGATCCCCGTAGAACCCATTTATAATTCGGGCTGCTTCATTTGTAGGTTTTTGCCGTTTCTAGAGTAGGACCCGTCAGTTGTGTTCGGTGGTGAAACTATGAGGGAACATGTAACATCGTTTGCAAAGAACAGCAAGACTGCTATTAATTGGAATTGGCAAGGAAAGTACAACTTTTTGCCCAAACTAATTGCAATAATCTAAAGTCTTATTCTTTTAGTTACTTGCTATCGTTCAAGGATTCTACTTGCAATGTAACAAAACTCGTTCTCTGCAGACGTTATATGTCCGGTCTTCTAAAGAAATTACATACAGTTTGATCTAAACCTCTGAAAGATAACGCTGAATACTGTGCTGTTGGTTAGTTACAAACGAAATATTAAGGACCATGCCATGGCTCAAGTAGTTAGTCATATCAATGAAACAAGGTTTATCAATTTTGTAAGCTTAGAAATAAGTAAAAAATTACCTTAGTGCATCAAATGTTAGGCCGCGCTATAGCTCAAGCGGTTAGTCGCTGGCTTCCCACCGCGGTGGCCCGGGTTCGATCCCGGGTCTGGTCAAATGGGATATGTGGTGAACAAAGTGGCGCTGGGGCAGGTTTTCTCCGAGTACTTCGGTTTCCCTGCCGATCTTCATTCCACAAATTGCTCCACAATCACCCTCACCTATCATCTGTGGTTGGTACAATAGGCCAGAAGTGGCTGCAGTACAAGGGACTTAGTCCCACCTCACTAGCAATAAAGAAAAATACATCAAATGTTCTTAGAATAAGAGTTCCTGGTCCTGGGATTGCGAATTCGAATACCACTGCGGTAATGGGGTACATCTGTTAATATCTCTATTTTGCTGTGACGGCTGGTCCTGCAGATGGACTGATCCCACGCGTGACGGCCTCCTACCAAATCTGTAACAAATAACCAAGAAATCTGTATACCAATAATTAAAGAGGACAAATAGAAAAGACTAGAATGAAGGAAGAATTAAAAGTAAAATTTAAACTAGTCATCATCCCAAATGGGATTCTGAGTTCTCACAGAGATATTTATGAAGAGTTCTATATTCTGGGATATAACGCAGCGTAGTTTGTTGAAAGTCAACCGACGTTTCGAAGTAAAATATTGTCTACAACCCACGTACACGATTTGTCTTCCACCTTTTTCGGTTTCTGCGCACCGCACACACGTACTTTTCTTTCCGTGTTCCCATCTTTTTGAATGGCCCTTGTCAGACCTAGTCACTGTCCTCTTGACTTCTACTGGTTCACCATAGTTCTTTGAAAGAGCCAATGGGAACTGACAAGTTGGATTCCCTGGTCCCATCTGCTCCTACATAATCCCACATTTTCGCAAACCACATGCTTTGTTTGCTGCATCACTCATGTTGGTTTTCTTGTTCTTCAACCCTGAAAATGGGAGCGATATTTTTCTCCGAAACATCAGCTGACTTCCAGCGGGCTTGTCATTGTTCGTTGCTCCATTCATCATCCATAACTCTTACACATCAATCGTCATTCAACTTGCAATACAAGTGTGTCGCGAAGAAACACGTTACTAGTCAGTAGACCTAACCTCAGAAGTAGTTTTAGTGTTATTGCGTAATGCTGATGTGAGTCAATGCTGCAGGTGTTGGGCAGGGCAGGTACCTCTCGAGTTCAAGATACGGCATACATAGTAAGACTAGATCACGAAGGAATCGGACTACTAGAGCAGTTGTCCCGACACCCATGTCAATACCCTTCGGCTAGCGGGAGCGTGATGCCCTGATGACCGTGCAGAGAGTGAGTCTCCTGTTCTAGTGCCAGAAGAAAACGACATGAACACGAAACTTTTCCCTGCCTGTCATCCATTTTTAATTAAAATTTCCGTTTTCTTTCTTCTCCTTTCTTTTCTTATTCTCGTCTTCTTCTTCTCCTCCTCCTACTCCTCCTTATTCTCTTCCTTCTCCTCCTTCTCCTTCTGCTCTTCCTTCCCCTCCTCCTCTTACTTCTCCTCCTCCTCCTTCCCCTCTTCCTTTCCTCTTCCTTCTTCTCTTCCTTCCCCTCCTCCTCTTCCTTCTCCTTCTCCTCTTCTTTCTCCTCCTCCTCCTCCTCCTCCTCCAATTTCATTATCTAGCATG